CCATCGGATGCAGGGGATGCTGCAAACTGTGGTTCTGTATAAATGTGGGCAAGTGTGGCTCATTCCCTGGTACACAAAGACCTGATCCTATCTCATTAAAGTTATTGAAAGACTTGCTAATGACTTCAGTGTGCTAAGGATTGAGTGTAAAATGGAAGGTCAATATGAAAACTGGTTCTACAGTGGTCATAAGTGCATATGAACTCCTACTAAGCTGTTCAGCTGATTGACTTCTCCCAACACTAATGCAGCCCTCTGACCAATGGAACTTAGAGCCCAAAGCACTTTAGAACATATATCTTTTTTTGATGCAAGAGCACCCTGATTCAGTAAAACTTATGTCTGTTAGGGCTTTGTGAAGCTTTGGTAGCAATTTGATTTGGAGGAGATTCAGCCTGATTTGGCAGCCAAATATCCAAATCTCAATCGAATTGAAAGACCCATTAAAAGGTCCAAATCAAATTGGAAGCCTCTGAATCATTTCAGAGGCATTCGGACATTCAGAAGGCTTGCAGCAAATAGCAACTGAGAAGAGGGAGGGGAATGGGGTGATCTTCCATATATGGAAAAGCCTGAGAAGGGGGGAAAGACTGCTCTGATATTGATATCTGTAGCCGGCCAGTGACTGTGATCTTTCACTGAGTTCCCTTCCAATCACAGTGCTCCATTCCAAAGGTGAGTGAGGTCATCCAGAGCATTGGGGAGATGCTTGCTCTGGATGGCCAGCCCTTCTCCTTTGTTGAGCATCCAGGGTTCAGGTGGCTCATGGTGCTCATCCCTACCTCTCCTTCACAGGCTGCTGGTGTGACCAGTCAGGCCGTCAGTGGGCTTTCCTTCAAGTGGAGGTGATGGATGAGTCCCACACGGCAAGGGAAATCATGGTGGCCATAAACCACATGGTGCAGGGGTGGCTTGTTGGGCAAGGCAAGCTCACCCATGGGTTCATCTCACTGACAACGGGACCAATATGGTCAAGGCAGTGCATGATGCCAACTTTGTTGGCATCCGCTGTGTGGCACGCAAGTTCCACCTCATAGTCAGGGATGCCTGGGAGGGGGACAGGGCTGCTAGTGATGGCACCATCACTACCAGCCAGCTCATTTAAATGCAGGATGGTGGCAGACTACTTTCACCGGAGCATCAAGGGGGTCAAGATGCTGCGGGACAAACAGGCAGAGCTGAGCATCCCGCAGCACAAAATCATGCAGGATGTGGAGACTCAGTGGAACTCCACATATCTGATGCCAAAAAAGCTGGTGGAGCAAGAGAAGGCCATTCACGAGATGGCCTTGCTCAGGGAGATTGGTATCAGTGGCCCCCTTAACAAAATGGAGTGGGATACCATCTCTCAGATCTTGGTGGTCCTCAAACCAAGCCTTAATGCTGGTAATGCTCTCCTTAGCCAGGTGATCCCTGTAGTGAAGAAGCTTGAGAATGAATTGGAGAAGTTCCAGGGGATTGATGTTCCTGGCTGGGGCAACCTGCTTTCACCAGAGGTACATGCACTAATGAAGCAGCTGAAGGAGGGCATCAAAAAATGGCTGGATCCTCTGCGGTCCAGTATGGTCCATGTGCTAGCAGGTATGTGCAACCTGAGGGTGAAGGGGAGCATCTGCAGCAACAAAATCCTCATTCACTGGATGGAGGTGATGATGAACATAATCAGGGAGGCAGAAAGGCCCAGGCAGGGGGACATGAAAGAGGTGGGATCCACTTTCCCATGCCAGCACTCCCAGCACCAGCTAGTCTCTTCTACAACAGCCACTGCTAATGTGGGCCAAGGGCATGGCTTCGATGGGCTGGTAAAATGGAGGCCTCAGTGGCTATCTATCTTGCTGAGGATGTGAAGCCACTGCACTGTGACCCCCTGGCCTATTGGGCAACCCACAGCAGGTGTGGCAGGATCTGGCCATGGTTGCCTGGGAACACCTGTCCTGTCCACCGACCAGTGTTCCAAGTGAGAGGGTGTTCAGTGTTGCTGGAGATGTTGTGACACCCCAACACACCTCCTTGGATCCTGGTTTGGTGGAGCAGCTGGTGTTCCTGAAGATGAATCTCCCACTGCTGGGGTTCCCCAAGCTCCACATGCAATGGAGTGAGTGCCATCCTCCTCACTCTGCGCCTATTTGATTTTTTAATTTGCTTTTAGAAACTAGAGGTGCACTTTCACAGAAACCCCTATGCCACTCTGCCTGAAACCTGGCAGGCCTCATGTCCACACGAGGGGCTACCATGCCTGCTGTTTTCATCCCATTCTGCCTTAACACACACAAGTGATATGACTTTTACTTTCAACAGTTTGAGGGGCACTTTCACAGACACCCCTGCACCTATCTCCTTGAAACTTGGCAGGCGTCATGCCCTCAGAAGGGGATACCATCGCTGCTGCTTTCATCCAAATCTGCAAAAAAAAAAAAAGACAGTTATAGGTATTTTAGTGATTCCCCATTATAGTCTATGGCCAAATCTCCAAATCAGCACCAAATCTCCAAATCCAAATTGGCTGAATCGAATAGGGACAGTGATTTGAATCACCAAATTGAATCACTCTCCCTCTGAATTGGCTGAATCCAAATCTGAAGTGAATACTTTAGGCTTTGCATAGGCCTAATGTCTATATTAATTTTAGGTACGTGCTTATGTATTTGGCTGAATCTGAGCCTCAATCATATAACATCAGGGATATCTGAAAGAAGAAGGCAAGACCATGTTGTCTAAAAGTCCCAAACTTTAATGAAGCCATTACAATTCCAAAGCAGCATATGCTCCCTTTAGAGCTGGAGACGGGCAGTGTCACCTCCAAAAATGTTCTTTATTACAATTTCCACATCCCTAGTCTTTCTCTAACCAGACCACTTGCACCCTGCCTAGTAGAAGAGGGAAAACCCAATACACTACATTCATTTGATGTTCCACTCCT